ATAGATATATAAATATTAACAAATTTAGATAGATAGATATGAATAAAATTTGATAAATATGAGCAAGGCTAGATAGATATATAAATATTAACAAATTTAGATAGATAGATATGAATAAAATTTGATAAATATGAGCAAGGCTAGATAGATATATAAATATTAACAAATTTAGATAGATAGATATGAATAAAATTTGATAAATATGAAATAGATAGATAGATATATAAATATTAACAAATTTAGATAGATAGATATGAATAAAATTTGATAAATATGAGCAAGGCTAGATAGATATATAAATATTAACAAATTTAGATAGATAGATATGAACAATATTAGATGGATATGAACAAAGCTAGATAGATAGATAGATAGATAATTATTGTGTATGGCAATCACACGTTATTATAAAACTTAGTATTCAGCATGCAAAACTTTCTTATGGTATCAAGCAATGCCTTTGAGTGCTGAACTCGGCCAATCTCACTCTCTGAACAAGAAAACCCTGTACTCCAATAGAAGTATCAGTCAATATAATCGAATCGAGTCGCACATGTCACATGAGGTGTTTTCTTCTTTTCCTTGGATGTCTTCATTACTTCGTTCATGAAATAATCAGCGTGTAAGAAACGAAGAACTCTTAAGGAAAATGAAAACAAAAAGGACACACATTCTCAAAATCAGAGAGAGACAGCTGAAATTTCTTGAACATATTATGAGGAAGGAGGGCTTGGAGAATTTGACCCTCACAGGACATATTGAAGGCAGAAGGGGCAATGGAAGGCAGCGAGCCCACTTACCTGACGAACTTGCGTGAATGGATGGCGAAACGAGGTGATGTAATTCAGCGGCTATATTCGTTGTCTTGAAAGACATTCTTTTTAACCTAGCCTTAACTACCAGAGTTTAATCCTTTTTGATAAGCAAGGAGGTCACTTCTGCCCTAGCTAATGTAACGTCTCCACTATCACGGAATTTAATCACCCCCATAACCTTTTTTCTTACATGCCGTTTGCGCTGCTAAACTATCTAGATTGAGTCGCCGACTATACTCAACAAACGACCTATTTTTTTATTTAAATTGGTCCTAACACATATTCCTAACTACAACCATCGTCAATTCCTGCAGTAGCACTAGTAGCAGCTGATCCCTGAAATCTTGCTCACCAAATAATGATGTTATAGTGGAACACACCTATTCTATTGTTAATAGGTTCTCCCACCTCTAATAAGTAGGAGTCGCTCAGGGAGTTGGTTAGTCAGTCGACTGGCTGATCGGTTGAACTCTCTGCCTTCGGGCGGGGAGGAACCCGAAAGAGGCTACGCCGAAGGGCGGATTCTCTTTCGGGGAGGTAAACCGACCCTGAACCCATTTATTCGGGTTCAATGAGCATATTTTTGGCCGAGCCCACGGGCTCGGAGAACCTACGCTAAAAAGGCCTTGTGCCACATGACGCCCTCGTGGCGGGGTGACTGAATATCGTTGGTCAGTCAGTCGATGTCGGACGACCGTTCGTCGGATATTAAAATATCAGCCACCACAACTAGATTACTGTGTCATTACCTATTATATCAAGTTACTAACGTTTGGTACGTCGAACCTATTTTAGGACCGACTTAGTACAAATACAAGCCTCCACTGTGAAACCACTCTAAAACAAATGATGAGTTAAATTGCCAGTAGCCAGCCATTTTAACCTGAGGCTTACCTAAACATCCACGGATACGGGCGAGCCTATGATCCGAGTAAACTATATAATAAAAACTTGAATACCCTAAGAGCCCTACATCGACTCTCCTAACTAAGACTCGGTCGTGATAGCTAAAACACACCTCCGTGGTAGCTAAACGAGCCGCCCCTACTCGTCAAAGTCCACACAATATCCCAGGGGTGTCCATTACGAAACTTATCGAAAAGATCAAACATGCAGATAAAAGCTCGAAATGGTTTCATATTCCGATTATTAGTACACGATCTTGTCCATATACGATCTATGCCAAGGACGGCATTACAATCGCCAGCTGAAACTACCCGACGAGAAGTCGTCAAAAACGGCTCCATCCACCGAAACAAATCAGGCCGTTTAGCATAGTCATTGGGCGCATAAACCCCAATGAAAAGAAAAGCCTTATCCTTTATAGTAACATCCAACACACAAAGCATGTCTGTTGGATCTGCGAAGACAAGAGCACACAACGTTTCCAAAGACTTGCTCACCGGCCAGAAAAGGTCCTACCGAGCGTCCATCAAAACATGCTGAATAGAGATCAAATCCCCTAGATAGAATGCCTTCACGATCGTTAGTTAAAAATAGGGTCTCCTGTACACAACATATATTCACCCCGAGACGCAGAAGATCGCGAGTGCGAGACTCTGATTTCAAACCCCGGGAATTCAAACTAGCCAACCAGAGAATCATTATCAGACCGATTAGGACTGCTCTTCTGCATTTAACATCGCTGGGAGGAGAACACAAACGGCCTGTTCCATTGAACCTATCCCCATCTCACTCCTGATTGTGCCATCAAGAAACATACCGCCAATGTCACCGGGAAGCGTTAACTTTAAAGCCCTATAAAGGGATGTGTTGAACGAAAAAGGGGAGCCTCCCTGAACAAAATTGACTCATTTTTGTTATATGGACATCGTACAAATATACCACTGGTGGTAATTTAAGAGTCGTGTTCGACTCCTCTATCATGCCCCATATCTGCCCTGTACCCTGTCCTGATCGCACAACTGTCAGCAGCCGCTTCACTCTCAGGAAATTCCCTGGAATTTCTATGTCCTTCCCGTTCACCTGTCGAAAATTCCGCAAACAGTTCAAATCTTTTGGGCATCGTGTTTGTGCGAAAACTCTCTCCACTTGTTCCCGCGATATGCGGCAGACGTCTTCCCCAGGTAAATAAGGTGGTTTAACTTGCTTTCTTTTTTTTTCCGATAAATCCGGATCTTCGGGACTTCTGTTTCTTTTTATCCATTCCTTTTTCTAGGTGTTTGAAAAGGAGTGGGAGTAGTTGGAGATGTAGAAGTTGATCTGGGAGCATGGACACTGGTTGTTTAAATGATGATGGCTTCGGCAACGGATTGTCTTGGACATATTCTTTTTTGTTTCGTAGGTGTGTGTGTGTGTCACTGATTTAGGTGGAGGTGGATGAACAAATGTTTTTTTTAAATGTTGGGAAAGATGGGACAGAGGATGAAGGGGACCAGTAACCCTAGCTGCTTTGTATTTTTTTTTACCCACTTGGCTTCTAGATCCTCCTTTGATTTCCATATTTTTCATTTTTTTTCCTAGCTGGCATCGTCTCTCTTCTGAATTTCGGATGCAGTTGTAGCATACGATGCCGGGGCATCGCTCTTAGAGCTGGTATAGGGAATGGGGCTGTAGATGATCTTGGCCCTGGGACCTTCAAGGGACTGAGGCCCCGCTGTTTGGCTTTTCCCTCCACTCCTACCAATGACACGCAATTCCCTTTCTTTCTTTTCTTTATCCGCACTTGTGGAAGGCGTCGGTTTTGTGAGAAATGTGGGACGTGACCCAACCAGGGTTTTTTCCGCACGGGTTCGGGTCACTGCAAGGCCCATTACAGGCATCGTGGTACTAACAATATCGGTCAGATGGGGAAGTGTGTCACCTGCGGCCGGAAGTCCAAAAACCTTCTTCTCTGGGCAGGAAGAAGTGAAGTGACCAATCTCTCCACACTTCCAACAAGTTGGTCTTCTGCTGGTCAAGATGAACTACCTTTTCCGGTCGCAAAACTCAAAATATTTGTGGACAGAGACGAAGGCCAAACAAGCATACTCTCATAGCTCCATCTCCCGTTCCGGTTTTCAGAATTTTCACCTAGTATTTGGCCATACTGCATGAAGAAGACAGCCAGGTGCTCTCCCGAAACTTAAGTTGGGACCTCGAATACTGCTAAGAGGGCTTCGCCAACCCTCATATTCGGTCCGTCACATAAAGTCTTTAGTGATCAATCATCTTCTCGACATCCCGAGACAATCTTCGGCTGTGGGCAGCAGTACGTCCCACATGAAGAAACCGGTACCTTTTATTACTCTTTGAGGTTTGACCCCCAGGGACATCAGTGATCGAATCACTGTGTTTTTCGTAGAACGACAAATTTTACGCATACACTTTTCCATCACTAAGACAGACATCATTTCCTTTTCAAGCATCTTTAATTCTTGCGGTCTTCTAAATGTCCATCTTCTTTTACAATATGTTCGAAAATTTTAGTCCTTTCCATAGAAAGATTTCCAGATAGATGCCTGCGATGACTATAATACAACGGGCGGGGGTACTTCCAAGATGAGGGTGATTCCCCGGCTGTCTTTTTTTAGGTACCTCCATTTCTTTCGACACATTCTGGTCAATAGTTTTACTGCTACTATCCTTGGTTTATTTTGTGTACTATCATCTTTAGTGAGTACATTCATTCCCTTAACTAGAGATTTCCGGGTTGCTTCCACCCGTTTACTCGGATGGGTGTGTTCTAGACAAGAACCGAAATGGTCCTTTCTCACAGACCAACGACTTTAGTCGTCCATCATCACGAGAAAAAAGTTACCACCTAAGTAGGCGGCAAATATTTTTATTTTATTTTTAACTTGGGAAAAAGTAATAATTGGAGTATGGAAAGGGGAGAAGGAAAATATTTTTAATTCACCGACAGGTGTTTTTAATACACAAAATAGAAGAAATTAAATAAAAGAATCAGCACAAAAGGTGGTAGGGGAGAAAAATTAACTTGTACAATAAAAGTAAAAAAAAAACTGGTTAAACCAGGATAAACAAAAAATGAGACTTCAAAAAACCAAAGGGAAAAGCTCATCCAATGAAAGCAAATACTATGAAAGTATTTGTAGAAAAGGCAGAGAGTGGCAACCTAACAGCGGTGGGCATGTGACTGAAGCCGAGCCGCTAGATTTAGATTACTGATTCTTCTTTGGATCTTATCAAGGAGTATCAGATAATTAGCAGGTCCACGGGAGCTTATATGGCAGTAAAACAGATAGATAGATAGATAGATAGATAGATAGATATGAACAAAATTAAATAGCTAAATAAAGAGACATGAATAAAGAGACTTAGAGAGAGATATCTGAACAACTTTAGATAGATAGATATGAACAACGTTAGATATATAGATACGAATAAAACTATATAGATTGATATGAACAACGGTAGATATTAATAAAATTAGATAGATAGGTAGATAGATATGAACAGAATTAAATAGCTAAATAGAGCGACATGAATAAAGAGACGTAGAGAGAGATATATGAAAAACTTTAGATAGATAGATAGATAGATAGATCTTAATAAGGTCAGATAGATATGAATAAATTAGATTAGATAGATAGATAGATAGATATGAATAAAATTAGATAGGATCAAAGTTAGTTAGATATGAAAATAAGATAGATATAAACAACGTTATATATATAGATACGAATAAAACTATATAGATGGATATGAACAAAGTTAGGTAGATATTAATAAAATTAGATAGATAGATAGATATGAATAAAATTAGATAGGATCAAAGTTAGTTAGATATGAAAATAAGATAGATATAAACAACGTTATATATATATAGATACGAATAAAACTATATAGATGGATATGAACAAAGTTAGGTAGATATTAATAAGATTAGATAGATAGATAGATAGATATGAACGAAATTAAATAGCTAAATAAAGAGACATGAATAAAGAGACTAAGATATATATATATATATATGAACAATTTTAGATAGATAGATATATATGAACAACGTTAGATATATAGATACGAATAAAACTATATAGATTGATATGAACAAAGGTAGATATTAATAAAATTAGATAGATAGATAGATATGAACAAAATTAAATAGCTAAATAGAGCGACATGAATAAAGAGACGTAGAGAGATATATATGAAAAACTTTAGATAGATAGATCTTAATAAGGTCAGATAGATATGAATAAAATTAGATAGATAGATAGATAGATAGATATGAATAAAATTAGATAGGAACAAAGTTAGTTGGATATGAAAATAAGATAGATAGATAGATAGATATGAACAAAATTTGATAGATATATACGAACATAACTGAGAAAAGATAAACAGCTACGAACACCTATGAAATATTGATTTTTATAAGAGTCTGCTGGATCTAATTATACTCAGTAGTTCTTTCAAAACTTTTAACTAATAAAGAAATGAACATAACACTCGATGCTACATCAAACGTTAGTGGTTTTAACCTACTTCTCAGACGTTTAAACCACATCTAAGATAGATAGTTATGGAGAATGTATGCCATTAAAATTAAGTTTCTCGCTCGCTTCCAGATTCAGTATATCTGTCACTAGTGAGGAATGAATTTTTTCTCTCTACAGCGACTCGGTCTGATTTAATCAAAATGCAGCAAATCAAACTCTTTCTGCGAAATATCGCCAAAACATTGTGGAAAAGATTAAATCAAGCTAATTTCGCATGCAAGGCCAATGGATGCAATTTGCAGTACGAATTTAGTTAAAACCGCTTATTGGGCATCACACCGGGGCAGGGTGTCAAACAAGCTGATCTCCCAGATCATTATGACTGTGTAGTGATATCGATCCTCACCGGGTGCTCCATATTTATAACCTTGTATCAAACTAATCTATTTAAATAACTATAAAACAAACATACTGGGCACCACACCGTGGAGTAACAATAAGCAAGCTAGTGCCCCAGATCGTTATGACTGTGTAGTGATATCGATCCTCACTGGGTGCTAAATATTTGTAATCTTCTGCCAAACTAATCGATTCATAGTAAATAACTATAAGACAAACTTACTGGATATCATACCGTGGAGTAATAATAAGCAAGCGGGCCTCCCAGTTCATTATCCCTAAGTAGTGATGTCGATCCTCACTGGGTACCGATATTTATAATCTAGTGTCAAACTAAGTTATTTATATTTAATAACTATAAAACAAACTTACTGGGCACCATACCGAGCAGTAATAATAATCCAACTGATCTTCCAAATAATTATGACTGATTAGGGATATTTGTAGGCTTGTGTGAATCTAATGAATTTATAATAAATAAATATAAAACAAACTTAGTGAAGACCACACCGTGGCGTAATAATAAGCAAGCGGGTCTCCCAGTTCATTATAACTTTGTAGTGATATCGATCCTTACTGGGTGCTCCATATTAGTAACCTTGTGTCAAATTAACCTATTTATAGTAAATAACTATAAAACAAACATACTGGACATCACACAGTGGAGTAATAATAATCTGGATGGTCTCTCAGATAATTATGACTGAGTAGACACATTGATCCTTACTGGGCGCTCCATATTAGTAACCTTGTGCCAACCTAACCTATTTAGAGTAAATAACTATAAAAACAATCATATGGAACATCACAGCGTGGAGTAAAAAGAAGCAAGCGGATCTCCCAAATCGTTACTTCCTCTGATCCTCACGGGGATTTGACACAAGGCTATATTTGTAGCCTTGTGTCAAATTCAGCTATCCATAGTAAATAAACGCTCATAGTCTCTGGATAAAAACTGTGTTTCTACTCTCCTATTGTCTTTACTTGATGAACAATGATAGATCGATGGGTTTTTTTTAATCGTTATCACCCCCCCTGCAAGGCAGTAAAGACACAAGGAACAGAAACATTAATAATGAGCGGGAAGAGGAAAGATTGATCAAGAGAACAGTAGATAGTGATTGACAGGTAAATCTTTGCAGATTAAAGTTGGCTGGAAAGCACGAAGCTGAAAAAGTGTTCCACAAGTGAGAAATGCGATGATAGAAACTTTTACCATAAAAGTTACGGTTATATTTAACCAGCTCATCTGTAAACTGATGAGATCTCGACGCCAGTCTCATACTTTGCATAAATTCAAAAAGTCTAGGTACCGTAGCGGAGAGCTCATCCGACCAATTGCCATAAAAGTATTTATAGAAAAGACACAGAGAGGCAACCTTACGGCGTTGGAAAGTGACTGAAGCCAAGCCGCCAGATCTTGACAAATAATATTGTTTGTTCTTCTCTGGATCTTTACATACACATAAAGCTTAGGTATCTTAAATAATAAACTGTCCCCTTTTTCTCTGTCTTTCTTTGTTAGACAAAACTGAATGGCGATCAATCAGATGCTTATCGATACTGATTTAATCACCACATCTGAAAACTGAATTCATTAATAACATAATTTTTCCAATGATTTTTTCTCTGTAAAATACCTGGAAATCGACTTGAAGTAGAAACTTACAGAGTAACAATTTATGCGGATATGTCGGGTAGAAAACACCCACATGCGAGACGGTTCCACAGAGCAGCGATTCGCCAGATGGCGATAACGTAATACGGCGCCTTAAAACCACTGGACTAAAATTACGAAACAAATGCAGCTCTTCACCAGATGATCATGCAAAATGACCGCTTAAATTTCACTTCAAATCATTTCTAAACCGGTAGACATTAATTCCCTGGTTTCAAATACAGAGATGTCTACTAAAACACTTGTACCTACTAAATATAACGTTGAGAGTAATATAGGAGCAATATGTAAAGATGAATGGATAGAGAGATTTTCCTTTAAAAATACCTAAGGTTTAACAGCTGAATTTATTCATGCAATCTCAGACACACTCTCTCTCTCTATATATATATATATATATATATATATTATAATATAATCATTCATACAAAAAAGTAGATTAGTAAAGTTAATGATATAAAATGGCGAAATCCTTCGCTAACAAAATTTTAAACGTGCATTAAGCTACAAATCACTCGATTTTTGTATGAATGATTCATTGTAATATAAATTGAACTACACCACATATTTGATATATATATATATATATAGAGAGAGAGAGAGAGAATGATCCTCCATCTCTCTCTCTCTCTCTGTGTTGGGGAAATTAAGCTGGAGTTTCTGTATGCCACCATGGATCTGCGCATGCGTCGCTATTGTGTATATGAATATGTCATCCACAGCCACGTCTCAGATTCTATCAATGATAGAAGCGCTACACAACTGGATTGATCAACTGAATCATCAGAATCTAGGACACTGGATCGTTGATAATAAACCAAACCATTGTTTTCCATTTGAGCCGCATATTAACTATCGCACTCTGAACTACGAATTTTTTTTATACAGAACGTGATAGTCTGGTTACAAAAAAACACATTTACAATTTCATTGCTACACTTGGGAACATTGCCTTCTCTTCAATTAATTCCGTTTGTCAGTTTGTCTAAATTCCTGCTGATTATGGCTCTGGAATATAACATCAGATTCATGAGCTGAGTTTTATTTTTCAGTTGATATACAAACTTTAACGGATCAGACAGGGCTCCGGAAGTATCAAACTGTCAATAAAAAAGCCGACTAGATTTAATCGCAAAGAGATTGAAAATAAAATAAAATTCTATGAACCAGTGAACTGTTCGGATACTATTCTGGGTTCATCAAGGTAATGGGATTAGTTGACTGTTTGCATTTCAGTAAAGAGATAAATTATTTGTTTTTGCTTCGTTTTGTTTGTTATGCCATGCAACTTCTTCATCATCGCTTACAGAAAAGCTTTATAGTTCCATTATAGTCTGGATTAATCAATCAATCAATAAAAAGTGTTGATTTGCTCATTATCGATCATTATTCAGAGATCAGGATCTCTTAAAATGTTTGAAAATTGAGCAATAAACTGAAAATGCTTCTATATTTACCAAATTACACCTTGATCAAGTGATATGAATTATTACAAGTTTATTCCTTAGAAGCTAAAATAAAATTTTCTTTATCAAAAGATATTTAAATTAAACACACTGGACGAGGACATTTTAACAGGTGTGGTTTAGTATTATAGTCTGGAGTTCTAAAAACAAACCACGCGCACACATTCCCTTTAGCCATAAACAATCTCACCATTGATCTTGATATTTTACATAGCTATGGTTTAATGCCAAATGGAAGTAATGGTGGGTGGAATATTATGTAGCGTCAATCATTCAAGAAGGATGGTTACCTGCTTTAAATATAAGTATTTGAAATTCTTTCTACCTGGGTTCGAACACATACTGGTGCAAAAATGCAAATATTTAAACTGTGTGGAAAGAATCATTTGGTTTGATTTATTTTGTTTTACGGCATAACAACACCTCAATGGGTTATTTAATGTCAACATGATTTTTAGGATAAGTTCGTATTAATAGAATATGTATTCTTTGTAAGAAATCACTTGTAAATCACGTTTCATAGACGTATTTTTTGTAAAGAAGGTATTTGTCGAGAATCAAATGTATTGCTGGTAATATTTTTTTTCTTCAAAATGCATTGCTGGTAATATTTTTTCAAAAATATATTATTATTGTTTTTACTATAAAAATTTATTTGCCCATAGATAGGACCCTAACAGATGCTACCACCCCGGGTCAGGGTGGACCTAGAAACAACTGCAATTAAGAAGTGGTTCTACGTTCCGCAAAACCTCCTGATCTGCCTTGCTGTTAAACGTAGTTTATCGTCTTACCCAGGAGGATTGTTTAGCGTCTTGAGAGAGAAAAAAAGCCAAGCTAAAAATAAAATAAAGAATCAAAAGGTTTGATCTGATACGCTGATCAAAATGGGCACATGAATTTTGATCAAACTGAATCCAGATCAACCACCCTAATCAAAGTGCAAATTGATACACGGTATTGATTGAACAATTCATTGATAGACAGTTTTCGTGTCCCGCATATTGATTACCGGCCCACGTCGAACTGTCTTTGGCATCGAACTCTCGTAATTGAAATTCTTAGATATGCGTTTCTGATCGATTAGTTTACTGATGGGTTGTCTCAAATCGAAGTGCTAACTCTGCACAGGCTTCCGAATAAGCGATTCAAAGAAGCTGACAGCCGGTATAAGAAACAAAAAAAAATAAAGAAAGAAAACGGCAGTTACACGTCACGGAGGCAGTGAAATTGAGATAGCAGCGGCAGTTAATCCCCATCATGCTCTTGTGATCCAGTCACTTGATGTATTTGGGCGCCTGGCGTAGCTGGGTGGTTCGCAAGCTTATCTTGTAGATCGTTTTGCTAATGTAAGGAATGCTGTTTCTACTTTCTTGCTCTATATTCATGGTCATGCACTACACTGAACCAGTCTAATCTTATGTATGACTGCCTTATGGCTACAATAGTTATATTTGCTTTTACAAGTTGGTCATTGTACTGGCTGAGTCGGAATTAGAAGATTCAAGATCAGAAGGTCTTAAAGAAAGAGATAGATGAATTATGAGAAAGATCGAAAACTACAGCAAAGAGACAAGTATAAAGTAAGATAGATAGATAGATATGAACAGAATGTAAAAGATAGATAGATAGATAGATAGATAAAACATTTAAAAAAAGCAAAATACTCTCCAACGCATACAGATAATCAAACTAAGGTACACACACACACACACACACACACACACACACACACACACACACACACATATATATATATATATATATATAGAGAGAGAGAAGAAAGACTGACAGACAGACAGACAGACTATACTATAAATAAAAAAGGGGAAAATGGGTTACGATAGATAGATAGATAGATAGATAGATAGATAGAACGTGAAAGAAAAAAAAGAAAATACTCTCAAAAGGGCAGACAAAAAGACTATACACACACATATATATATATATATATATAGGTGTGTCTGTCCATCTCTCTCTCTCTCTCTAGACACACACACAGATATATATATATATATATATATATAGTGTGTGAGCGAAAGAGAGAGAGACGGACAGACTATACTATAAAAAGAAAAGGGGAAATATGATAGATAGATAGATAGATAGATAGATATATAGATAGATAGATAGATAAAACGTGAAAAAGAAAAAAAAATACTCTCCAAAGGGCAGAGATGAAAAAGGTACCACACACACACACACACACACATATATATATATATATATATATATATATATATATATATATATATATATATATAGTGTGAGCGAGAGAGAGAGACGGACAGATTATACTATAAAAGAAAAGGAGAAATAAGATAGATAGATAGATAGATAGATAAAAGCGTGAAAGAAAAAGCAAAATACTTTCCAAAGTGTACAGATGAAAAAAGATACACAGACACAAACACACACACACACACTCACACATACACACACACACATATGTAGTGTGAGCGAGAGAGAGACGGACAGACTATACTATAAAAGGATAATAGGTTAGATAGATAGATAGATAGATAGATAGATAGATCAGAAGAACATACTCTAGCCAAATATTACGAGTTTAAGGTAGGAATAATTTATCATGGATAAATATTAGAAAAAAGTGAGAAAGATAGATATCTTTTTCGCTACATTAGTTAATCGAAAATTTCATTATCTAATGCGAGGAGCGTTTAATTGCTTTTCCTTATGAGATCTGTCATATAAGCCCATCTAAAACAATTGTCAATTTTTTTTTTTATTGATTCTTATGTGGAAAATGAGATAAAATAAATATCATTTTCGACATAATTACTTTTTAACTTAGTTTAAAAAAAAAAATTCGACTTAAACTTTCAAAATATTTTCACAGTAGTTTACGAAGAAGTTACGGGGGATGATCGAACGTGCCAAAAATGGTTGCCAAAGTTTAAGTTTAGACAGCGTTCCACAGTCCAGTAGACCATTTGAAGTTCCTAGACACCTTATCTCGTCATAGCTTAGGAATAATCAACGTTATTTACAACGAGAGTGATTTCCAAAATATTCAGAATATCCAAATGATGCGTTGAAAACCATTTGTGCAAAAAGAGTTATGTCATTCTCTTTGATGTGCGGCATAATTTAGATGAACAAAGAACAAACCTACTGAATTAAACGTAAATGTTTAGTTTTTGAATCTGTAAGAGGCGGTAAAAATAGGACATTCTAAAATAGGAAACAAAAGATACTATATAACAAACAAAATCAACTACAACTAACGATATCAAAAATTGGTCTTAATTCAAAAAAGATGATGCCGTCTATACGTGAATCCAAACAAGCAAACGATTGATTCGAACAAGTACTGCACCTAGAAAATTATCCGAAACTAATTTTAAAAAGCTGAGACAAGATATTTCAAGATAACATGTCTATCACCTGATTCACACTTCTCCCCAGACTTTTGAGCAGGAACAGAGGGTTGTCTCTTGTTTCCTGTTTAGGACTAAGTTTCCGGTTCCTTCTAAAGTCTTCTCATTCTCTTTTACTCCCAGTATCCCCACCCCTGCAGTTTTGCTTGAGGGTGAATTGATTTTTTTAAAAATATTGCGATTTTCACTCATCAGCTACATTCATCAAATTTTTCACGTTTGAATTATCAGTGTCTTTAAAGGATTTTCTTTATGAAAACATTATGGAAGACTACAAAAGGTACATAGAGCAATGCTTTGCTGAGAAAAATAAAAATGGCTATCGAATGAAATTTTGAGGTGCCAGAGATGACAGGAGAAAATGAATCTTTTAATTTTAACTAATAAACCATCCAATAAATATCCGAGGGTCTTCTGGAAAATAAGATTTAATATTAATTTAATATTGGTAGTTAAATAATAAAAAAAAGAACACTCGCAAAAATATTTTTATCATTTCACCCCAAGCAAGACAATAAAACCACTAAGGCACATGAGGGGTGGATATTAATGTGAAATATAATATGATAAAAAAAAACATTATTAAAGATAGGTGAAAATAAATGAGCAGGAATTCAGAATACATAAAATAACGAATGGCATTGCATTTAAAGCTTTGAAGATTAAAGCTGATTGGTAAGCAAGAATCCGGAAGAGAGTTTTACAAGCGTGAACTGCGAGAGAAGAAACTGTTAGCATAGAACTTACGGTTACATCTAGTCATTTCAACTGTCAAATGAGATCTTGCCGACAATCTAGCACTGCGCTTAAATTGGCAATGTCTACATACCTAAGAAGGAAGCTCATCAAAACAATTACCATAAAAATATTTATAGAAAAGACTCAGGGAGGCTACGTTACAACCGTGGAAAAGGGGCTGCACTCGAGATGCCAGGTCAGGACCGATAACATCACAGATTCTTCTTTGTATTTTATCAAGAATTTCCAAATACGAAGCAGAAGAAGACTGGGCCATATAACAAGAAAATTAGGGACTAAATTATATATCTATATTTTAGATGAGGTATTTGTAAACTCCATGGTACAAAGGCAGGGGCAATGTCCCACAGTACTAGCGCTGGCGGGGCATTACTTTTGCAGTATTCTACATTAAAGAATTCTAACATATGGCTATACACCAGCCATTCTAAGTGAACTCAAAGAACATTCCACAAGTGCAGGGACAAAAAAAAAAGATGATGATCATGGCGCCTGCAGGCACAGAATGTCAAATCACTATAACTTTCCAAGATTATGGATTTTTCTTATCAATTCATCTCTCGAATATGTAATTGGAAAATTAACACGTCATGACACGTGATTGGGAAATATCCATTACTGAGATTATAGATTGAAACACATATCTACATGAGAGAGAGAGAGAGATAGAAAGGGAAAGAGAGAGTGAGAGAGAAGGAGAGTGTGAGAAAGAGAGAGGAAAGAGAGAGAGTAAAAGAGATAAAGAGTGTGAGAGAATGAGAGTGTGAGAAAGAGAAAGGAAAGAGAGCGAGTGAAAGAGAAAGAGAGAGAGATAGAAAGGGAAAGAGAGAGTGAAAGAGAGAGTGAGAGATTGAGAGTGTGAGAAAGAGAGAGGAAAGAGAGAGAATGAGAGAGAAAGAGAGAGATAGAAAAGGAAAGAGAGAGTGAAAGAGAGATTGAGAGAGAGAATGTGAGAAAGAGAGAGGAAAGAGAGAGATAGAAAGGGAAAGAGAGAGTGAGAGATTGAGAGTGTGCGAAAAAGAGAGGAAAGAGTGAGAGAGGGAATGATAGAGAGGGAGAGAGGAAGGGAAAGAGAGGTGATTGTTTCTTGGATGGATCAGTTAATTATTTCTCCACCACTAACAGTGGTGGTTGTTCAAGCCCATGTTGAAAAGTAGGGATTTGACTGCTGATTTTCAAGGCAAACATACCTTTTTTTTAAGACAGAGATTAGATTCTACCACCGTTGCAAAGAATGCTACGAACAGAACATGGGAGCAACGAGTAAGTCCTAATAAGAATAGAAGCAACAAGGAAACATGCTTAAAATCAGAAAGAGAAAATTGAAATTTCTAAAACACAGTATGAGGAAAGAAGGCTTAGAGAATTTAACACTCACTGGACATACCAAAGTCAAGAGAAGCAGTAGAAACCGCAAGCAATCTATTTTATAAGCTTATGTGAATAGACAATAGAACAGTGACAGAGATGTAAAGTGTTTAAAATTATTTAGACCAACAAAAGACGAGAAGTTGTTGACAGCCATGATCGACTGTGTCACCCATAAAAAGAGAAAGTGATAGCTTCAGCATTATTCCGTTATCAATGAATTTAACTTCCACTGAAGTAAGAGGTGTCTTCAGACATCGAGAGGTCTCTCGAAGAATTTATCATTTCCAGTAAGAAAGACACAACAAAGAAGCAATTGTCTGCTTCCTGACAGTAGAAGCCATTTCGGTTAGTTTTTATCTAGCTTCTTCAATTGAGGTTATTTTTCTCTCCAGATTCAATTTTCCTCATCTGAATCTGTCTTCATTTGGCGGCCAATTCTGTGACTCTTTTTTAATATAAGCAACTTTTTTTTTCTTTTAGCTTCTTGATTGTTCTAAAACGAATTCTAATCAGAAAAATAAGCCTGAATAAATATTTAAAGTTAGAAAATTAAAAAAACTCACAAAAACAGAAAAGTTGAAGAAAATAATAATTGATCAATTTAGATTTTTTTTTCTAAAGTACCAAAGCAGAATGAAATAAATACAGTAATTAAATTAAAAAAAAACAAAACAAAACAAAAACAAAACACGTTCACTCAGAAGCAGTTGTCCCCTTTCATAAAGACCATAAAACTCTCCAACATGGAGATAAACCTGCAGCAAAACAAACTTACAATTCTCATTTCGTCTCCATCGACCTGACAAAACTAAACGGGGTCAAGAATTTCATAAGAAGAGTCATATCAGGCTGAATAGTAAAATAGATAATAATTAGCTTTTGATGGATAATAGAAACGTGACCAGAACAGCAAAAAAATCTTGTATCAGGTCATCCCATAAGTTCTGTTCGAATTTTACCTTTTTTAAAATGAACGAAATTTAAAGAGTATTTTATAATGTCTAATGGAGCTGAACATTATTTTTATGTTTAGATACATTTAAACTGATCAAATTTTATTTCAGAGAACAATAAAATTACATTTTGTTTGATTAAAACCCTGCTAACATGGAAGTACCCAAGAATCATTTGAGACATAATGCTTTATGAGTTCAAGAAAGGAAACTCAGCAGCCGAAGCGACTAGAAACATTCACTCAGTTTATGGAGAGGAATGTGTGAATGAAAGAACTTGCAGAAGAAGGTTTGCAAAATTCAGAGGTGGAGATTTCACTCTTGAAGATGAAGATCGAACCGGACGTCCAGTTGAGTTTGATGAAAAGCTGTTTGAAGCAGCCCTTGAAGAAAATCCTGCTTTATCAATTGAGGAATTGGCAGTGATTCTTGGTTCAAACCATACAACTGTTCATCGTCATCTTCAACAACTTCGAAAAGTTCCTAAACTTGGAAAATGGGTGCCTCATGAATTGTCTGAAAACAACCTCAAATCCCGAGTTGACATCTGCTCTTCTCTCCATTCTCGCCAACTTGTTTCACCTTTTTTGGATAGACTTGTGACTGGCGACGAAAAATGGATCTTTTATCGAAATGTTAAGCGTCGTAGACAGTGGCTTGGTAAAGGGGAAGGACCCCAGACACAGCCGAAAAGGGAACTTCATGGGCAAAAATTTCTTCTTTCAATCTGGTGAGATCGCCAAGGAATAATCCACTTTGAATTCTTACCACCTAATGCAACAATTAATGCTCAAATATACTGTCAACAATTAGAGCGTTTGAACCAAGCTTTGAGGAAAAAAGACCTGCTCTAGTGAATCGAAAAGGGCTGATGTTTCATCAGGACAATGTGCGATCCCACACAGCAAGAATCACGTCACAAAAGATCGAAGAACTTGGTTGGGTGAAAATTCCTCATCCACCTTATTCTCCCGATCTTGCTCCTTCAGACTACCATTTGTTTCGTAGCTTACAGAATCATTTGTAAGAAACAGCTTTTGTAACACAGGAAGAGGTTAAAACTGACATTTGTGAGTTCTTCGAATCAAAGCCAAAAGAATTTTACAATAATGGAATTAGTAAGCTTGTTAATAGATGGAAGGAAGTCATAGATAATCAGAGAAAATACATTGTTGATTGAATCTGTAATTAAATGTAACATTTGGTCACTTGTTTTCTTTATTCAAAATTCGGACAGAACTTATGGGATGACCTGATATTTCCCCATAAAAGAGTATGCAAACATTGAAGACCAGATGATCTTTTAGAATTCCTGGATTACGGATCCTTCTTATCCTCGGAAATTTCATAAATCTAATTGAAAAATTACTTTCGTGTTCTGAGAAATATCCAATAGAGGTGAGACTGTTTAAAAATTATTTTTTAATAATAATGTTCACTCTGTACAAGGCACAAGAGCCACTCGAAATAGAGGGTTTCAGAGTAAGAGGTAAAGGGCACATTTTATGAGAATAAGTGGGGAAGATATCGGGTAAACCTAGACTTCAACAGGTTTAGATTGTAGTGATCGAGGAAGCATCCTCTCAGGTGACGATTAAACAAAGTAGCGGTTCGTGAGAAGAAGCTGTTCGAGTGGAACTTCCATTTAACCAATGGAATGCAAAGGGAATTAAGCTCTTAGCCGTGGAGGTTAGAACTGACGGAACTAAAGAATGTAGTTCGTCTGAACACTCCCCATGGAAACAGAGGCTTGCGACGTTTCGTGTGTAGAAAAGAGGTCGCTGGGTGGAAAATAATCCATCACCCAAAAGGAAGCGTAGCTGTATTTGGAGGCTATCGAGACTGCAAAGCTGTCCGAGTGGACAACAATGCAATGAGAGTGGTTCGCTATAATATACGTGGCTTGGCAGATCTTAGACTAAGAAATGTCTATATATATATATATGAAAGAAAAATACAGAAAAAACAAAATTCTGAATATGCATTATTAATGTTAAAATAAAGTCGACGTCGGACGTCTCGGTTTATTTAAGACCATCTTCATGGACATTTTCATTTAAACATAATTAACATTATAACTTATAACAATTTAACACAAAAGACGATGGACATAAGAGCCCAACTAATTCAAACAGATAACTGAAATTTTATACAGATCAGCGTTCTGTTTAAATAAAATGTCCATGAAGATGATCTTAAATAGACCGAAACGTCTGACGTCGACTTTATTTTAACATTAATAATGCATATTCAGAATTTTGTTTTTTCTGTATTTTTCTTTCATACTGTCGGATTTATATCCATATATTTGCTTACATATATATATATATATATATATATATATATATATATGTGTGTGTGTGTGTGTTTAGGCAGCATCCCCTCTTTTAAACACGTTGTATTAAACGCCAAAGACAGCATAGTCCTGCTGATTTTCTTTTGTATTTTCTCATATTTCCGAATAAGACTTTTTATTTCAAAATTATATTGATATATATATATATATAATATACTATATATATTTGACCCTGATGATAAACGATGACGTTCGAAAGTACTCGGTTGTCTTTTGGAACATATATCAATATAATTTTGAAATAAAAAAGTCTCATTCGGAAATATGAGAAAATACAAAAGAAAATCAGCAAGACTATGTTGTCTTTGGCGTTTAATACAACGTGTTTAATATATATATATATATATATATATATATATATATATATAGTTTATGAAAAACTAGGTAATCCGTATGGGTAAACCTAAGGAGGATAAAATCCAGAGAGCTCAATGTAAATCCAGAGCAAATAATTTAAATAAAAACAGACTACTTTAAGGTTCCGTGCAATAAATTATTTCACCACAGCCCTTTTAAAGGACTGCGGATCATCAGACTTTACTTCCAAAGGTTGAAACAAAAAATGAAAAGAAATTTACACATTTTTGACGGGCCGTATTAAACGTATGTAAATTAACGAAGTGAGGAAGTGAGGGGAGAGAGAGAAGACATGAGCGAGTTAGCAGATATTGACACGTTTAAACGGTTAACTTAACGGAAGTTATATATTGATACCGAAGGGGTAGAGAAGAAAAAAACCCATAGAGAGAAAAAGAGAGAAGGAAGTCTTGAGTGAAGGTGTCACTAATTTTCTTTGTAAGATATATATATATATTCAAGGCATGAAGACCTTCATCTTGAGAGGTTGGTATGACAAAATATTGTTAATATGACAAAATATTCCTGACAAATGAACAAATATTAAATGAATATTCAGAGTCGTGAATATTGGATATAATTAGGGTTAGGATAAACTATTTCAATGACTTTCTTAGTTTCTTGATAGCAAACAAAAATTCTGAACTCTTTCGAGCCTGAACCTATTTGCTTTTTCTTTTAATTATCACTTTCCAGAAAGAATAATTAAGTTAAATAACTAAATCATTTAATGAAATGTGTTACAATATCAAAGAATTTTAAAACGTTACAAACAGTTGAACTAATCACTTTTCAAACATGACGAGGTTATTAAAATCAAACTTTGATCTCTTTTCGAGAAACACCAAGGTTACAAGAAATAATTACAAGAATTTTACCAGAAGGGACAAAGACGAAAGATCTTGTTCTTTAATTTTGTTTTTTTTCCTTTTGTTTGCTTGGAGTTTTAGTTGTTTGTTTGGCTGATTTTGTTTAGCGGCATATCAGTGTCTATGAGTTATTTAATTCCAATATCTAAACATTTTGTACATAATTTTATACTGTCAGAGTTAAAGTTATGTTTTTTTTTTAGATATATATTTTGTAGTTCATAAAATGTATTATTGGTAATTTTACAATAAAATATATTTTTATAATTTTTAGTGTTACATTGATTTTCATTTTACTGTAAAATTTATTGTTGGTCATTTTATTATTATGTACCGTTGATTATTTTTCGGGGGTTCACCAGTTGCCCATCGCTGAGACCCTAACAGATACTACCACTCCGAGTCAGGGTGGACCTGGAAACAACAGAAGTTGAGGGGTAGTTCCACGTTCCTCAAAATCTTCAATCTTCTAATCAGAGGCTTTGCTGCTGGATGTAGTTTTAACGTCATACCCAGGACGATGGTGCATTTATTTACTCATATTCTAAATTGGAATAAGAGAGGTAAATTGAAATTGGTTTGAACTCACATTCTGTATGAAAGTCATAAATTGGGATCCCTGAGCGCATTTCATAGCCAAATATATTGAAAAAAAATGCACTGTTCCTTGTATTCTACGAAGGTCGGCAGAGAGTAGGCGGGAAAAGAGCAAAAGGTAGCTATTACACCTATTGTCAACCTTGATAGTTCATGCTAGACAGATGATTTTTTAATCATTTCACCCACTTCAAGTCAATAAAAACTTTCTAAGTCACAAGGTGTTACTGAGCGTGAAAAATATGAGAAAAATAAAAGCCTTATTAAGTAGAGAGAACAATAAATTAATAGATCCTTAAGCGGTTAGTGAGTGGGAAAGAACCTGAGATAAGACATTATTAACGAGAGAGGACAATAAACGAACAGAGATTAAGAAGACTGAATATGACGATTGACATTACATTTAAATTTTTCAGGCTCAAATTAACTAGAAAGCAAGAGACTGGAAGAGAGTTCCACGAGAGAGAAGTGCGAAAGAAGAAAGTTTTAACATAGAACTTACGGTTACATCTAGACATTTCAACTGCAAAAGGATGAGACCTAGCTGCCAATCTAGTACTGCGCCTAAATTCTTAAAGTCGAGGTACCAACGAAGAAAACACATCAGAAGAATTACCATGAAAATATTTATAGAAAAAGCACAAGGAAACAACATTACGGCTGCTGAGAAGTATCTAAAGCCGAGATGCCATGCCAGGACCTGTAACGTTGCATATTCTTCGTTGTATTTTAACAAGAATCTCTAAATACGTAGCAGAAGAACCAGACCAGGTGTGATAGCAATATTCGAAGTATGGACGAAATATTATATTTAATTTAACCCCTACTGTCTCCGTGTGCCTCTCATTCTCTCTTTTTTTCTTTTTCTTTTTTTCATAGTCTTCTCTATGAATTGTTATGTGTGGAATACGTGCTGCCTTATAGTTTCTTGTTAATTGTTTTTTTTTTTTTTGTTTGATTGTTTGAGAATTTGGATTTTCGCCCGAAATACTTAACCATGACAACGTAAGCAACAGTGTTGAACAGCATGATTGATCGTCCAAGACAAATCTTATCTTTCAGGTGACTTGGCATCGCGTATAGAAATATTCAATCGTTGATCACCACAGGAAAGCGTCAATCTCGGTGCACATTCTTTAAGTTGGTTTGGATGCCTGCACGTGTAACGATGTTTGAGTCTATAAAGGATGAACTGTTTCATTTTTAACGCGATGTGTTTGGATTTGTTTGCTTGCATGTTTGTTTCTCCTTTTTTTTTTTGTCTTTGTTTGGTTTTTGGTTTGTTTTTTTTATTTTGTTTTGTTTTTTGTCGTTTTTTAGTATTTTTGTTCATGTATTTTCTAGATCCAAATGAGAAGGATAGCGGTAACATAATGTTCTCTATCTATCTATCTATCGCTATCTCTTTCGCTCGCTTTCACCCTCTTTTTCTTGCTCCCTATTTCTCTCTGTCTTTGTATGTCGATCTATCTATCTATCTATCTATCTATCTATCTCTTTCAAATTCTTTCTCTCTGTATCTCTCCCGCTTTCTCTCACTCCCTCTTTTTCTCGCCCCTCTTTCTCTCTCTTTCTCTATGTTTGTCTGCTTATCGATATCTATCTATCTATATATATATATATATATATATATATATATATCTTTCTCTCACTCTCTCACTCCCTCTTTCTCTCGCTTTCTGCCTCGCTCTCTCTTTTTCTCACTCCATTGTTCTCTATCTCTTTCTAACTGTCTCTGTCGTTCTGTGTGTGTGTGTGTGTGAGTTTGGTGGATGTGCTATGTCGCTTCAGAACATAGGCAATCCCAGCACATCAAGGCTTCCTGCCCCTTCATACAGTCAGCAATACAATTTTATGGCCTGTCTTTCTCTTTATCGTCATCATCATCATCAGTTACATGAACGGGTGTGGCCGTAGTGTCACTGAGCAGCCGAGTACCTAACAAGTTCTCTACATATCTCCAGGCAGGTATTCATTCATAAGTAGCATGTTATATGATGGGGTTAATCTTCTCTCTTCTTCTTTCTTTTCATGTCCCAAGTTCATTCAGGATGTAGGTGATCATGGCTCTCTCTATCTCTATATAGCTCTCAGCAAGTTCCTTTTTTCTGCTTTCTCCCCCAAATCGCGTTCTGTCATCCACCTCCTCAGGCTAGCCAGGTATGTCACGTGCTTCTTTCCCTTGTCTCACATTCCCTCGACACGACCGGAGAGTATCAGATTCTCCAGGCCCTTCTTCCTCATTATGTACCCCAAGAACTTCAGCTGCCTCTTCCTGATGTTAAGTATAAACCTCCTCTTTGTTTACAACCTCTCTAAGACCTCATCGTTGCTCACACGATGATATCGTTAGCATCCTTCTGTAGAACCACATCTCCGTCGCCTCGAGTCTCTTCTTCATCTTTGAGGAAATCGTCCAACATTCGCTGCCGTAAAGAAGAACAGATGTCACGTAACAGTTCAGTATTCTTTTCTTTGTTACCAAAGAAATCGTCCTATCTCGCAATACTCTGCCTAGCTTTTGGAATGCGTCCTTGGCCATCCCGATACGTCTACAGGTCTCAGTGTCACACTTACCGTCCTCTGTCAAGATGCTTCCCAGATATTTAGACTTCCATGTCTACTTGATTCTAGTCTTCCCAACCTGTAAATCGCATTTCAGACTCTTCCTCTTACTGATGACCATTCATTCTGTCTTCTTGTAGTTTATGCTTAGTCCTTTCTTCTCACTCTCTGTCGCTACCTTCTGTAGAAGATTTTGTAATTTCTTTTCGTGTCTCTCAGTTCATCTCTTCCTGCAATTCTTTCTTATTCATCTATTTTGAAAAAAAAATGGCCGAAAAGTTTTTGTATGCATTCTTCTTCATTATGAATCTCCAAAATTTATCTGTTTGTTTCTAATTACTACTAAAAACATGTTTTGTAGTTCATATTCTGATTAGAACGTTGTATGGCTTGTCATTGGTATCGTAATTCACATCAACCCTTTTTTTTAATTTGTTACAAAATTGTCCACTACCATATGGCGCTGATGGGTAGAAATCCCATAGCAATCTATCTCTCTTTCGTTTCTAATAATAATTTCCACTCGTCTTATATTTTACTCAGTTTATAAACACTGTCTTTCGTCAGTACAACGTTTCAGCGAATTTCTGTCTGGCATCCCATCCTTTGTAATTACACGGCTCAATAAGTTGAATTTCCAATTTTGTTTTGACGTCCCCGATGTGTTACTTTTATCTTCGACTGGTCATTTTGCTTACTACTAATGTATTCGTCTTCTTACAGTTATTTTTTAGATGTTTCTTTTCGATTCACCAGCACAGAAAACAGAACTGGTGAACTCAGTTGGAATTTCGGTTTAGTCCGTTCACTTCATACTAATACTCATGGGAAAGTAATGAATCTATTTATCGCTCTTATCAGTTCCATCATCTGATATCTTGAGAAAATGCTCCATTTTTTATGCCATAACGGTTACCAGAAATCATAACGGATGATCGTTAACAAAGAATGAGAGATAACCCTTGGATAAACTATTCTCTTATATACTGTTCATTTACGAGGAACCGTATAAAGATGTTACTTCAGTAATTAATCTTGACATGGGTCATTAAGGTTATAATAAGAAAAGACATCCATAAATTACTTCTTCATGTTTTATATTCATGAATATATTTGCTTGAGCTTCAACTTATTCGGCAATTTATGAACGATACTGAAAATGTCACCTACTAATTTGAAGTTCAATTCATTTCTTCATTCTATTTATCTTTATCCAGTCTTAGCAACTAGATAGATAGATAGATAGATAGATAGATGGAACAGATTAAGATAGATGTACGTGAATTACTTTAGATAGATTGATTAATTCGTTTGTTTTTTCGATATTATATATTTTATAACGACGAGCGACATTCATTAGTTCTACCAGTTTAGATCTTCGCAGCTAGAATCGGCCATGCCATGCACCCTGGAACAAACCACGCCCGTTTCCATTGTATTCACTGAATAAGGAAGTTCCATTCAGACAGCTTCTTCCAAAGAACTGCTACTTTTTGTAACAGACTCCCGTGTGGATGCTTTCTCAATCAGTGCAAGCGTAATATTTTCAAATCTAGGGTCAACAGTTATTTATCGCAAATTTCCTCATAATCTGCACTGACTTATTCCTTCCACATCCATAAAACAACCCATTCAGTAAACTTCTACATTGAGTGGCTCTTAGGCCTTGCATTTATTGATCAATTTGTAAAAGAAATTATAGGTATGTATTGTTAGAGGCAGAAAAATCTTGTTGCAAGTTTTCTTTTTTAAGTTAATTAAGTAAATACATATGAACAGAGATAGTTACCAACAAATATTGACAGATCTTGTAGGTTGGTAAGTTGGTTCGAGTGAGCTAAAGACGTGCTTTACGAGTAACTATAAAGATTTACTGATTTCAGAAGATCCAAGTTTTAAAGGCTTAACCGAAGTCGAGGAAGATTTTGAAAAATAAATTATTTAAATTTCACAAATAATAAAAAAGCACCACAGGAAAATTATCAACAAACCACACGAACAAATTAAACCCACGTGCAACTGCAGAATAAAGAACGAATGTCCCTTAAACTGTAATTGTTTACAAAACAACGTAATACACCAAGCCACGATAAAATCACCAGATAATGAAGAAAAAGTATACATAGGAGTAACTGAAGGACCCTGGAAACAAAGAAATTATACGTACAAAACATCTTTCACAAATAGTAAATATACGAACAGCACAATGCTTTCTAAGTATATCTGGAAAATTAAAAACAAAACGCACATCACACCAAAAATATCTTGGAAAATAAGGAAAAGATCATCAGCCTACAACAACCAATCGAAAACTTGCAAACTTTGCTTGGAGGAAAAAATAGCTATCATTGCTTTCCCAGACCAAAATAAATTATTAAATAAAAGATAGATGCAAAATGCAGATATGAAAACAAATTTTTACTACGTTACTTAAAAATCGAAAACGGAAAAAATAAAATAAAATAAAAATAAATAAACAAAATGACAATAAAATAAGCAAAATTAATTCAAACAAATTACCAAATCACACCTGTTAGACGAAATAGAATAAAAAATGAGAAAAAAATCAATTAACCCAAATAAATAAAGTAAATAATAAACAAATTAGCAAACCATTATGACCAAAATATTAGTTAGGCTATAAAAATCAAACCAAAAATCGGACGAAAAAAAAATAGATATAGCTGTTATATAACGATAAAAAAAATACTACGTCACTTAAAAATCGAAAACCGAAAAGAAAAAATATACAGTATAACAAATAAATAATATCAAGTAAAATAAATGGACCTAAATTTATCCAAATAAATAAATAAATAAATAAACTAACAAACTGATCCCGATAAACTAAAAATTAAAAACTGTTCCCGCCAAAATAATAGTTAGAATAAACTACAACAATCAACCCCAAAATTGAATAAATAGCTTTAACTATCTTGCCAAACCAAAACAAAACTATTAAATAAGCGATATGAACAAATTTTTACTACGTTAATAAAAACATCGATTAAAATAAAAAAAATAAATAAATAAATAAGATAAGATAAGAAAAAAAATAAAAAAATATAAATAAAAATAAAAATAAATAAAAACAAGGAAAATAATTTAACCCAAATAAATAAATAAACAAATAAACAACTTCCGGTAAAATAACCGCCAAAATAGACTACCCACAATGCACCACTGAACCGTATATATATAAATAGCCGAGAAAAATAACAGCACTCGTGGCCTGACGATTGCATATAGCATGAAACAGACTGTCGCCTCTAAGTGTTGACTTCTATGTTCACTTTTATATTTACACACGCTCTATCTCTGATATTGAGCAATTTATCCCATGAATACAGGACATCTTAAGACTATATTTCTATATATATATATATATATATATATATATATATCAGGTCATCCCATAAGTTCTGTCCGAATTTTGAATAAAGAAAACAAGTGACCAAATGTTACATTTAATTACAGATTCAATCAACAATGTATTTTCCCTGATTATCTATGACTTCCTTCCATCTATTAACAAGCTTAATAATTCCATTATTGTAAAATTCTTTTGGCTTTGATCCGAAGAACTCACAAATGTCAGTTTTAACCTCTTCCTGTGTTACAAAAGCTGTTTCTTACAAATGATTCTGTAAGCTACGAAACAAATGGTAGTCTGAAGGAGCAAGATCGGGAGAATAAGGTGGATGAGGAATTTTCACCCAACCAAGTTCTTCGATCTTTTGTGACGTGATTCTTGCTGTGTGGGGTCGCACATTGTCCTGATGAAACATCCCCCCTTTTCGATTCACTAGAGCAGGTCTTTTTTCCTCAAAGCTTGGTTCAAATGCTCTAATTGCTGACAGTATATTTGAGCATTAATTGTTGCATTAGGTGGTAAGAATTCAAAGTGGATTATTCCTTGGCGATCCCACCAAATTGAAAGAAGAAATTTTTGCCCATGAAGTTCCCTTCTCGGCTGTGGCTGGGGTCCTTCCCCTTTACCAAGCCACTGTCTTCGACGCTTAACATTTCGATAAAAGATCCATTTTTCGTCGCCAGTCACAAGTCTATTCAAAAAAGGTGAAACAATTTGGCGAGAATGGAGAGAAGAGCAGATGTCAACTCGGGATTTGAGGTTGTTTTCAGACAATTCATGAGGCACCCATTTTCCAAGTTTAGCAACTTTTCGAAGTTGTTGAAGATGACGATGAACAGTTGTATGGTTTGAACCCAGAATCACTGCCAATTCCTCAACTGATAAAGCAGGATTTTCTTCAAGGGCTGCTTCAAACAGCTTTTCATCAAACTCAACTGGACGTCCGGTTCGATCTTCATCTTCAAGGGTGAAATCTCCACCTCTGAATTTTGTATACCATCTTCTGTAAGTTCTTTCATTCACACATTCCTCTCCATAAACTGAGTGAATGTTTCTAGCCACTTCAGCTGCTGAGTTTCCTTTCTTGGACTCCTAAAGCATTATGTGCCTCAAATGATTCTTGGGTACTTCCATGTTAGCAGGGTTTTAATCAAACAAAATTTAATTTTATTGTTCTCTGAAATAAAATTTGATCATTTTAAATGCATCTAAACATAAAAATAATGTTCAGCTCCATTAGACATTATAAAATACTCTTTAAATTTCATTCATTTTAACAAAAAGTTAAAATTTGGACAGAACTTATGGGATAACCTGATAATATATATATATATATATATATATATATATATATATATATATATATAAAATGTGTCAAATACCTGGTTGATGTTATGTTATATTCAGTACCCCGTCTCCAGAGTTTCGTAGCTTTTGTGTAGTTGTTCGATCCACTCGTCAGGATATATCAGTCAATATCCTCCTTTTTCTTATTTTTATATTAAGTTAAACAAAAATCATTTCTGATCCTTTTTATTTGTGTTATGTTAATTTTTCTTCTTTGTATGTATGTATATGAGCATCATTTCTGGGGTCAGGTATTAGGCTAATATTCCAGAATATTCTGAGGTTTTCTAAATATAAGTGCATTCCGTTTTCTTGTTTAAATAATATTTTTAATTAATGCATATATACAACAATAAAACTACAAAAGGACACAAAATTGATCGCTGCATTTAAGTATTCCATTAATATTTAAGCTTACCTTTTAAGAGGTCAACAATAATTCTTCTGCCACATCTTAATTTAAAGACAATTTGATGTATGTAGGTCCTTACTTTCCGTACAAACAATGACTTTTATTTCATGGGTGACTTTTGCTGGATTTCGCAATTACTTTCGATTATTCCCAAATTTATTTCCAATATATAAAATTGCTATCGTACAAAAAATTCGTCGCAAAAATTCACGTAAAAAATCACTGAAAATAATCGCAGTATTGAAAACTTGAGAATCCAAAATTTTAGGATTATGGGTTCGGATCCGGCACGGAGAGTTTTTTTCGTGGAGTCGGCCTAATTCCAAAATGGTGTGATATATTGGGCTACGGCCTCTGGGAGTAAAGTTGAAAACACGGACAATTTTATTTTGAAACACTGTAATTTGAGAACAGTAATATTTTCATTTGAACATGAGCTATTGAAAGTTAGAGAGTTGTGTCCCTTTAAGTTGAAAAGGTGTGACACAGCGACACACTGACATTTGCATTTACTATATAGATTAATCATTTCATCCTAAGCAGGTAAATAAAGCTACAAAGACGCAAGGGTGGGATTTAGTCTGAATATGAGAATAAAACAATAAATGATCAGGAATTAAAATGACAAAAAATAACGACTGATTTTACATTTAAATGTTTTAATATATACTAAAGTTCAACTAAGACAAGGCTCAAGATTCATTCAATGTAGAGTGTTTTTGAAAGATGTATGTGGTATGAGTGGAAGAGGAGATAGAACGATGTGAAGATTATGAGCATAAGGAAGATAGTTAACGACAGAACCTTGATTGTAATGTTCAGGGAAGGATCCTTACGGAAAGAGCTGAGTTCCTATTGGGTTCGTTATATTCACTTACGCGCAAATACCACTGGAAAAGGTATAACTCAACCTCTTCCCCTCCAGCTACGGGTTAATTAATAAGACTCGTATAACTAAATCATTATTATCTCAAAAAATATCTCACAATCTAAAAATATTTCCTGGCTTTAAAAAACCTGCAAAGGGTTGATAAACTGTAGAAAATTAGAATTGGAACTCCACTCGCACATCAAAGTTTGCAATATCTTGTATACCCAAGCGGTTACCCATTTAGGTAATGACCAGGCTCGACGTTGCTTAACTTTGATGATCCTAGGGGAGCCGGTGTTTCGACGTGATATGGTCGTCCACTCGAGGCTAATACTATTACGGGTTCCTGTAATTTATAATTCTAGCGTTTAAGGCAAACAAGCCATTTGAACTTGGAAGTGTGGCACCACATTCTTGCCCTTTCACTCAAGAATAAAGACAAATTTTTGCTAATGTTTATCCCCAATATATATAATATACCACTTTCTTCTAGCAAATAATTTGACTGAAGCTTCAAAGCTCTTTGTAAATCGATGAAGAAAAAACTATTTCAATAACTTGATATATCAATCCCGACTAGAAGTTTGAACTTCCTTCGATTCAAGCCATATAGTTATTTGTAGTTCTGAGATGAATGCCTGGTTCTGCAGACAATATAAATGGACTACAATTGAGGATAAAGAGTTTCTTTTCAGTTAGCTATAAGGAATAAAAAAAGAAACCAACTGTGTGCTTTAAACTTCTCAAACTGCCATTGTGTTCTAAAAGTCACTTGAGGCAGTACTATTCATTTTTGACGGGTTTTTCTATTTTTTCGCATCGTTTTTGTTGTTTTTCATGGCATTGATTTGATCGATTTTTATTTATTTATTACATTTCTCGATGGTTAGACGATCATTTTGGCTTCGAAATAATGAATAAGCTCCCAGCAAGAATTGAACTCGTATCCGTTTGGACAATAAATAGCAAAGATAATATTAAGAGAAAATAGTGAAAAATTAGCAACAATGATAATGCTCCATCGAAGTAACTCTGACAGTTTTCAAGAGTGAATCAGTAAGTCTGTAGCCTAACATGAGCTAAAATTTTATCTGAACTTTTCATACGTTAAAACAAAATGGTATCGACACGGAACGAAATTATGTTGAAAAATATTTATGCAAAATAAATGCTTTCTCGTTCAGTTGCGAACTTATAGATGTTCATATGTAAAATATGCAAGCATTTGCAACTGGGTAAGCACATGCAACTAGAAGGTAAAATGATATATATAATCAAGATATTGACTTTCCACAATACCTTGAACAAAAGGTCAGGAAGGAAAATTTCATTGATGCTATGGAGAAAAATAGCAATTTATTTAAAAAGTCTACTGGAAAACGCAACACTGAAACTTAACTATTACGTGATATCAGTCCTCTTATATGGCAGTCAATGCAGGACAGTCTCCTCAGAGATGAAGAAGAGACTTGAAGCAATAAAAATATTGTTCCACGGAAGGATACTGAGAATACTATAGACCGAACATGTGAGCAACAAAGAAATTTTAGAGAAAATGAAAACAAAAATTGCACTTATACCTAACATCAGGAAAAGCCAGATGAAATTTCTGGCGATTTTAATGAAGGAAGAGGGCCTGGAAAATCTGATACTCACAGGACAGATTGAAGGCAAGAGGGACAGAGGAAAACAACGCATAACATATTTAGTGAACTTGAGTAAATGGATAGCAAATAGACAAAATTTATTAAGAGCAACGAAGGACAGGAAATTGTGGCGAGCCATGATCGTCTACGTCCTGAAGGGTCACGGTACATAAAGAAGAAGAATTTCTTTGAAAACGGTCTTAGGAAAAAGATTTTAACTTTAATTGTAACCGGCACTAAGGCTAACTACTCGGTCAATGAATGCCGAAAGTTTCCTTATAAGGAAAAGGCTAATTTTACCATTATAAAAAAAAAGATTGGGAAAGGAATCCTCTGGAAGGACTACTCCACGTCACATCCCTAGTTGACGCTCTCGAAGCACCATTGCATCATACTTCCCTAGTTGGCGCTCTACAAACACCACAGCACGATACTGTCGTAGTTTACGCTCTGGAAGCACCACTGCAAGACACTTCTCAAGTTGGCGCTCTTTGAAGCACCATTGCACCATACAACCCCTAGTTGGCGCTCTCGAAGCACCACTACACGATACTCCCCTAGTTAGCGCTCTCGGAGCACCATTGCACGATACTTCCCTAGTTGACGCTCTCGAAGTACCACTGCACGATACCTCCCTAGTTGACGCTCTAGAAGCACCACTGCAACATACTTCCCTAGTTGACGCTCTACAAGCACCACTGCACGATTAGTCCCTAGTTGAAGCTCTCGAAGCACCACTCCACGATACGTCCCAGGTTGACGCTCTAGATGCACCACTCCACGATACGTCCCTAGTTTGCGCTCCCGAAGCACAACTGTACCATACTTCCCTAATTGACGCTCTCGAAGCACCACTGCACGATACTTCCTTTTTGATGCTCTCGAACCACCACAGCATGATACTGTGTTGGAATGTGTCACGAAAAAATAAATGATTTCGTCTCTTTCTCTCCAGTCGTAGCGACGGACACAGTCTTCACTTCTGAGACTGAAAACTACCCTCCTTCTCATTCCAGCCCTTTACATAGAGCTTGGTAACTCACCTATGCAAAACACCAACAAGCCAGCTAACAATCACAGTTCCCGCGCCTGCCCACCTCCACTCGCTTTGGGGGTTTCAAGTTGACCGACCAACTCATTACACGCCCCTCTGATCTTAAGATCACAAAGCTTCTCAGTTCAAGAGATGGTCGCGTCTGTCTAGTGACTGCGTCCGCATATATACAACTTGCACGCTTGACATATTGGGATAACCACACACGCGCGAATTCATTTGCTCCGAGGTGGCAGATTTCCAGATTCATTCAACCACAGACTGTCCACTCGTATCACCACTGAATTCGGAGATCAGTTTTATGTCGAACGGTCTTTCCGCCATCTTGCTGGAAACAAAGTAAATGCCGAAATAGCTTGTGTTAAAATGTGTCACGAAAAAATAAATGATTTCGTCTCTTTCTCTCCTGCTGTCGTAGCGAGAGACACAGTCTCCAATTCTGAGACTCAAAACTGACCTCCTTCTCATTCCATCCCTTTACATAGAGCTTGGTAACTCACCTATGCAAAACACCAACAAGCCAGCTACGAATCACAGTTCCCGCGCCTGCCCACCTCCACTCGCTTTGGGGGTTTCAAGTTGACCGACCAACTCATTACAGATACTTCCCTATTTGATGCTCTTGAAACAACACTGTACGATACTTTTTGACGCTCTCGAAACACCACTGCATAATACTCCCCTAGTTGATGCTCTCGAAACACCACTGCACGATACTTCCCTAGTTGCCGCTCTCGAAGCACCACTGCACCATACTTCCCTAGTTGGCGCTCTACAAGCACCCCTGCACGATAATTGCCTAGTTGACGCTCTGGAAGCAACACTGCAGGATACTTCCCTAGTTGACGCTTTCGCAGCACCTAGCAGTCGCAATAATATTTAATAAAATTATCATTTGCCTCTCCATGCCGAAGGCTCTCTGACGGACGTCGTCGTGAATATATTGTTGCTGCTTTGTTTATATTGTTGTGAGTTTCTGCGTCTTTTTCTTTTCTTATCTGTGCTATAAATATAAAGGTGATATTTTCACCAAGCAGATATGAACGCAGAAAATGGCTTCTCTTGTGTATCTTCGTTCTCACGCTCGTTTCTCATAAGCAACTGGCTGGCAATTGACAGAAACGAAACCATACAAACATAGAAACAAAGATATGGATACTTGATATGACAACTGTAAATGTAAAAAAAAAAACAAAGCTTATATGACTATTGGTAATGGCCGTAGTATATTTGCTAATTCAACACAAAATAACCTCGGCGAAGAGCATCAGCTTCTACTTACGTGACTGTAACCTCCTATGAAATAAAGAATCTAGGATACATCATATTTTGTGTACCGTGTCCCTTCAGAATGTTGTTGATCATGGCGCTCCACAACTTTCTATCCTTCTAGCTATAAAAAAAGATAATCACAAGCTTTTTATATTACTCGCTGTTTCTTCATTGCCTTCAATCGGTCCTGCGAGTGTTAAATTCTACAAGAATCCTTTTTCATATTTATTTCAACTTCTATTCTCATTCGAAAAACAAATTTTCATTTTGTTCTCCATCTGAGTTGTCAACATCGATTCAGGATAATGTTCATTAGTTTGCAGCTGTTTTTATCCTGTAGTGATGAAATTTTGTAAATGCAATTCCAATTAATCATGCCAACTTAGTTTGCTAGTTGCAACTTCTGGTCATTTTAGCAGATACAGACGGTTCAACATCTACCTTGGACCGGAACGACCTACCTATTGAGTTGTTTTGCAAATTTTCTTTTCACCGTTTTTGCTTTGGAGAATGATATTCTCATGTACTAAGGACTTTGGCATCACTTGAATTTGTTTTGGCCTTGTATATAATTATTTTTTTCATTTTTTTTATTATTTTGCTGTATTATTATCAAATATTGTAGATTTAAACCGAATTCATTTCAATTTATATTTTTCTTTGACGGTATGTCTGTATTCTTCCAGTTATGTTTAAAAATTGCATATATGTATGAAAATACTTTATAAAATACACAAAAATATAAGTAAATATAAAATCCCATAGTTTGAAATAAACAATTGTAGTGAATAATCAATGCGTCAAAACTACCCCAACTACACCTTGGCAGATACAGACGGTCAACATCTACCTTGGATTGGTACATTCTGTTGCATATGAGTTGTTTGCGAATTTCAATTTTCTTTTGCAAATTTCTACAAGAATGATATTCTCATTACTAAGAAGCTTTCCTCACTTGAAGGTGGCAATGTTATTATTATTATTATTATTATTATTACTAAAACTTAGAGAAGACCACATTCAACAATATTTCGACGGTATGTCTGTATTCTTCTGTTATGTTTTAAAAATCCATAAAATTGTTAATACTTTTCTGCAAAATACACAAAAATATAAGTTTCATAAATTTCGCATGTTTTTTCATAAACGGTTGTATTTTTAATCAGATATTGTCAAAACGAATAAAACAGACGATCATATATTCATGGGTGTCAATAGTATGCAACCCGAAATATGATGGTGATCGTTTTTTCTTTTGAAATTTCACAGTTAGTTGATTTTTACTAAATAATTTTTAATAGTTTAGTGCTTTCCAGTGGAACAAGCCATTCTGTTCATTTTCCCCCGCCGCCTTTTAACTCTGCACTGCATACCTACTAAGGACTACGGGGTTTGTCTACATCAGCTTGCTTGGTAAGAGTAAAATATTGACCAATGAAGAGGCTTATCTTGACATCGTTATCATTATTATTATTATTATTATTATTATCATTATTATTATTATTATTATTATAGGAGTTATGATATAACTCCTATGACAAAAACCACAAGGTGACATAACTCATATACATAGCTAATTCTCAAGTCGGGCCATCTGATTGTGGGCTTTTTGCCCTAGCATTTTCATCATTCTTCTTCTTCTTATTATTATTATTATTATTATTATTATTATTATTATTCCGTTTTCAATATATTTTTCGTTGAATTTTCTCTGCTCATTTACTGATAATAAACGGAAAATACCCCCCTTTTAAAGACGTAGTTCATCGTATTGTTGCTGCTAGGGGCTAATAAAATCTGCTATTTTAAAAATAGTTATAAAGTGTTCAAATTTCTGCTCTGACCGATCAATCTGTGTTGAGACAGTTTTCTAAGAGTTTTAATATCGTCTCTACTTAGCACTAAATCCAAATATGCAAGGCGGTTCTGCTTAGATATTCTAAGTCTTTATACGATCAAATCTATTATATTCCTTCTGGGTTAGCGTATTCACTGGCTACATCTTCACTTTCTTTTCTTCTACGTTTTAGCTTCAGTCATTTTTACACGTTCACGCTAGATTTTGTATGGTCATGTAGACACTTCTCATCTCTTAAACCCATTTTATTCCTGTTACTATCCTAAAATTAGAATTTCTTTTTTTTCTTTTTTAGTCTTTTACATCGTGCTTTCTTTGTTAATCCTAACATTTCAACTCTTCCACACACGCTCTGCGTTTTGTTGCGCTTAGCAATATATTGCTTTCTATTAAAATTGCAGAAAATCTCTACTGATTTTGTAGAGTGCTATCAACATTTTGCCATCCTCTTCTTTCCGTTATCTATTTTTTACAATTTACAGACGCGCACAGATTAGATAGATAGATAGATAGATAGATAGATAGATCTAAAAAGGAGTAGATAGATAGATAGATAGAGCTAAAAAAGGAGTAGATAGATAGATAGATATATAGATAGATAGATAGATAGATAGATAGATAGATAGAGCTAAAAAAGAGTAGATAGATAGATAGATAGATAGATAGAAATAGATAGATAGATAGATAGATAGATAGAGCTAAAAAGGTAGATAGATAGATAAATGGGATAGATAGATAGATAGATATAGATATAGATAGATAGATAGATCTAAAAGGATTAGATAGATAGATAGATAGATAGATAGATAGATCTAAAAAAGATTAGATAGATAGATAGATAGATAGATCTAAAAAATTAGATAGATAGATAGATAGATAGATAGATAGATAGATGAATAGATAGATAGATCTAAAAGGATTAGATAGATAGATAGATAGATAGATCTAAAAAGGATTAGATAGATAGATAGATAGATAGATAGATCTAAAGATTAGATAGATAATGGATCTAAATAGGATAGATAGATAGATAGATCTAAAAAGGATTAGATAGATAGATAGATAGATAGATCTAAAAAGGATTAGATAGATAGATAGATAGATAGATAGATCTAAAAAGGATTAGATAGATAGATAGATAGATAGATAGATAGATAGATCTAAAAAGGATTAGATAGATAGATAGATAGATAGATAGATCTAAAAAGGATAGATTAGATAGATAGATAAAAGATAGATAGATAGATAGATCTAAAAAGGAGTAGATAGATAGATAGATAGATAGATAGATAGATAGATCTAAAAAGGATTAGATAGATAGATAGATAGATAGATAGATAGATCTAAAAAGGATTAGATAGATAGATAGATAGATAGATAGATAGATCTAAAAAGGATTAGCTAGCTCCAAGTTTAGGTTCACTCAATTCTTTATCGATTGTGTACACAGGCCTTTAAAATTGTTGGTGGAAATGTTTTTACTGTGAATGCAATTTATTGCAATAATCTGAAACTCGATAAATCTCGTGAGACCTTTATAACGGAGCGTAGAAATGATGCCATATGTTTATTTCCAGTCGGAGTAAACTCACCGACACCTTGATCCTTACGACAGGTCACACTGTACCGATAACTGGCCTTTTACATCGGTACAGTGCGGAGCATAGCGATCTAGTACATAACGTGATATGTTGATTTTGGACAACTTCTTCCCGAGAACTGCTGCTTTGTGAAACAGAATCCCGGCATGATGTTTTCCAATCACTACAATCTTGAGCTCTAGGATTAAACGCTATCTTTCCTGCATAACCCCTTGAACTTCCCTTCTTGCTCTTTTTTACGCTCGTACAACGCCATACATTAACCCTCTACCTTGAGTTGCTCCTGGGCTTCTCATTGGGGAGAACATTATTATAAAAAGAAATATGTCTCCGTAGAACTGTTTCTCTTTCTTTTCTTTTTTTCTTTTTTTTTTCTCTCTTCGTTCTTGTTTTAAAGAGGTTACTATTTTATATAACATACAATTTATTTTTAATAGATATTTAAAAAGTAATATTTGTTTTACTCAATTCGGGCCGCAAGAAAGCGTCAGCCTGCAGTCCTTAGTTTGTCCAACCTTGCCTAAGTACTTTTAAAATTGATGAACTGAAGAAAAGTTTGAAAAAAGATGCTGCAAAAAATGTGAACATGCAAAAAAATAGAGTTAAGTGGCAAGTTGTAAGAATTCTTTTTTCTTGGCAAGGAAGCCATTGTTTTTTCCCATGTGACGCAAGATCAGTCTATACTTCTGAGATGAGGTATTACGTACACTATTTACATTATTCAGACGATTGTCCTCATCTTTGTTGCCATATTTATCAGAACGTTTCAGCCGTTGCACGCTATGGCCTTCTTCAGGTGATTGGAATGTCGAAATGAACCCTTTATTTCGCTCACTGGGGTAGACTGTTCTAGTTCCACGTGCCATATCTAATGAATGTTAGTTATCAGTTATTTCCTGTTAATTCACCTCTCCATGTTTTCCACTGCCTTAACCAGATATTGAACTCACACTGTCACTGGATCTAGCCAACGCCTTTATCCCCTGTGCCATGTGTTCTTAAGAACTCTAGTTCCACGTGCCATGTCTGTGCCATGTGTCTTTAAGGACACATGGCACATATATGGCACGTGGAACTAGAACAGTCTACCCCAGCGAGCGAAATAAAGGGTTCGGTTCGACATTCCAACCACCTGAAGAAGGCTGGAGCGTACAACGGCCGAAACGTTGTGATAAATATGGCTACAAAGATGAGGACAATAGTCCGAATAATGTAAATAGTGACGCGGGATGTTCTTCCATGCAAAATAATAATAAGAAAAGAAAGAAAGAAAGAAAGAAAGAAAGAAAGAAAAGATAGACAAGTCAATAACGCTCTCATGCGTTTAATGCCTGAATCAGTGAAATAGAAAATATTGAGAATTTTAAATACTTTCATTTGTACCCTCTTACTTCTTTAAATAATGACCTGGATTCACACTTATTATTGTTATTGCAATATTTGTAAAAGATGTTAAGTTCAAATATCACTTGATTGAGTGATTTATTTTCTACGGCTTATCAACCCTTATTATTTTAAAGTCAGAAAATATATTTACATTGTGAGAATTATTTGAGGATAATAATGGTTCATTGATGCAAGTCTTAAGCCATAGTTGGGGGAGACGAGGTTTATTCATACTTTTCCCAGGGGTATCTACGCCTAAGTAAATATAATGAAACCCAACGGAGATTGGAACTTGAATCTCCGATTAACAATTCCATTATCCATTATATCACCAACACCTGGTATTCCAAAGCGGTTAGCCATCTAGGTACTGACCAAGTTCGAGGTTGCTTAACTTCGGTGATCTTAAGAAAATCGGTGTTTAGAATTATGGTCGCTCAGAAAATGAACAAAGGAAAACCGTAAAATTTTCACGGATACTGATAATTATTATGGTTTTATTTGTATTTTATTTCCGTTCATTTCTGGTGTCTATTTATTTATTTCCGGATCCCAATGAGAGACCTAAGGTCAGAAATGACATTTTCCACTGAGCAATTTTGAAAAAAATAAAATAAAATAACACATATTTTACATAGATAAAGCCCTTCGTAAGTGTAGGCTCTACTCGTGCGAACAATTTTTTTGTATTTCTTCAAAGCATGAGCTACCAGGAATCCATTCAATGAATCTGTTGGAATCTTTTCCAGTCAATCCGAGTGCTCCAACTACGACTGGAATTGTTGATGTTCTCACATGTTTTAGATTTCGATTTCAAGGCTCTTGTATTTTGAGAGTTTTTTGAAGATCTTCAAAGATACATTGAAGTCTGCAGGGAATGCCATGTCAATAAGGAGGCACTTTTTGGCTTTGCGGTGTCTGGGCGATTAGCTTTGATTGTTCTGTCAGTGTGTATTGTAAAGTCCTATAAAATCGTCACAGGTCCTATCTGTAACCGGGTCTTGGCTTTTTATTATTATTATTATTATTATCATTATTATTATTTTCTTTGATTTCTGGCGTTTACACATTTCTTTCCGGGTCCCGCCCAGGGACCT